TATTTAAAAAGATTTTATTTATTTATTTACTTGAGAGAGAGAGAGAAACAACATGAGAGCAGAGAGGGTCAGAGGGAGAAGCAGGCTCCCTGCTGAGCTGGGAGCCCGATGTGGGACTCGATCCCAGGACTCCGGGATCATGACCTGAGCTGAAGGCAGCCGCTTAACCAACTGAGCCACCCAGGCGCCCCTTATAAAAGATTTTATAAAAGGAATTGATAATAAGTTGTTTGAAAAAAGAAAGAAGAGGAATTAAAAAAAAGGAGAGAATGTCATCAGGCAGGAGACTAGAACAATGCCATATACTAGAGATTCAGGGTATATTTTGGTGTGTTAGAAGAAACTGTATCCCAAAATTTTAAAGAGAGAACAACTTATATATGTTCCAAAAATAAGGTTAACTACTATGAAGGGATAGAATATGACTCTAAAAATGAAAAATAAAAAAGATTTTTAAAAAAGGGATTGATAAGATGTTGGTTGAAAAAGGGAAAAAGAAAAATTCAAAAAAAAATTAGGAAAAGAAAAAGAAAATTAAAAAAAAATTAACTTTGAAAGACTAAAGAATCAGGGGAAAAGAAGTCATGAATTCTATGTGCTATATCCCCTAGTGCTGGAGTTCTGCTATTCTCATTGATTGGTAAACTTGGTGTTGGCTGGCTGTTCTTACTGATCTTCTGGGGGCGGGGCCTATTGCCGTGGTTCCCAAATGTCTTTGCCAGAGGCGGAATTGCCCCACCCTTGCCGGGTCCAGGCTAAGTAATCTGCTCGGGTTTGCTCTTGGGAGCTTTTGTTCCCTGTAAGCTTTCCATACAGCTTTGGAGGACGAGAGTCAGGCACAATACTCTTAAGAATGTTAATTATCATGGCACCTGGCTGACTCAGTCCATAGACCACGTAGACCACATGACTGTGGATCTCAGGGTCGTGAGTTCAAGCCCCACGTTGGGTGTAGAGCTTACTTCAAACAAACAAAAATGTGAATAGTATCACGTTGATCCCCATTTTGATCCTGATAACTTCTCCCTGCTATAAGGTTGTTAAGTTTAAAAACCTTAACATTACTGACAGTGCTCTGTGTGATATGGCCACAACTTAACTGGTTCTGCTGTTTACCCATGTGTTGGCTATACTTCAGGTGTAATATAGAACATTTTACTCCTTCTCTAAATTCACTCTTCACAGTTTCTTCACTGTGACAAATGTTTATCTACCTCAGGGTCTTTGTACCTGTGCCTAGAATGCTTTTTCACTTTAGTTTATATATTGTTTCATCAAGGAAGCCTTCTTAACCTCTGAGAGGCCCCTGTGAAATGGGAATTGTATTTATATGTATCTTCCCTGGCCCTAAACATTGTTTCCTTTCATTCAGTAGATGATTTCTTGAGCACCAACTGTGTTTCCAGGCACTGGGTGGAAGCTGAATATATAATAGTAAATGCAGTTGACCCTTGAACAACATGGGTTTGAACTGCACAGGTCCACTTATATGTGGATTTTTTTTTCTGATAAATTCAGTACAATACTGTAAATGTATTTTTCTTGTGATTTTTTTATGATGTTTTCTTTTCTCTAGCTTTTTTTATTGTATGAATACAGCATATAATACATATAACATGCAAAATATGTTAATTGACTTCAGTCAATAGTAGACTATTAGTAATTAAGTTTTGGGGGAGTCAGAAGTTAATGTGGATTTTTGACTACATGGGAGGTCAGCACCCCTAGCCTTCACATTGTTCAAGGGTTAACTGTATAATAATTTAAAAACTGAGGCTGTGTCATGACTTGGGCTTTTCTAATCCACTTTTTCTAGTAATTCATTTTTACGGTATTTTTTTGACGTATTGGTCTGTGATGGGCACAGAATTTTTTTAAGATTGTCTTTGACCACAGAGTTTGAGAAATAATGAAATACAGCACACTGAGAAATTAAGGCAGGTAGGTTAAGAATGGAGGATATCACATTGGCAGTAGTGGCATTAACTTCATGTAGATATGATAATTAAAAGTTACCGCAGGCTACTGACAGGGGATTTGAAGTGGTTAAACTGGGACTATTCAAAGTAGGATAGCATAGGGAGAGGCAAAAGCTGGCTGACCAGGAACCTGCTACTCCAGCACTGGACCAGCAATGAGGAAACTGTGGTCAGCATTTTAGATTTTTTTTCATACTAAGTTTAGGGCTTTAGTATCTCTAACATTTTATTGTGGACGTTATTTCTTAATATTTGCTAGCTAATTACAATTTAATTTTTCTTTGCTTATTGTCTTTTAAACAAGCCTTTGCTTGAGAAAGAGTGAAGGGATGCCTCATATTGGTTAGATAAATGTAACATTGTTGGATCATGTGTAAAATTGATTATAATTTGTTAGTTTATTTCTTTATTACTTCAGGTATTAAAAAGAACGTGACTACAAATTACCAGAGCCTTGCAGACAGTGCAAATACCAGTGCAAAGCTACAGAATTTTGGTGAAACCTCGCCAGATGCCATCAGTACAAATTCAGAGGGTGTTCAAGAAAATCAAGACCTGGTAATCATTTCAGAGAGATTCTGTGAAGAGAAATGCCAGCCACAAGGCTGTTTTACCTTTCTTTCATATTTAATATGGGCACATTTTATGACATTAATATATATAAGTGAATTGCCATAGTAGTGAGTGATTCACTTTGCTCTTGCTACTCTTGAAATTGCTTCCTTCCCTCCTATTGAATTGTTTTTCTCTGAATTTCACTCTCTAAATCTGTTTTTCTCCCACTGAGGAGGGGAGCTTCTGTCCTTTTCCATCTTTTATTTTTTGACCTTTATCATAGTTCCACTTAAATATATTTTGAAAACAAGTTTGGTGGTTGATGGTAGTCAGTCCTCATGAGGAACTTTCTACAAAAGAAGTATGTTACTGGTTTAAGCCCTTCCCACCCAGTGAAATATTCTTACAGATGACTTAGAAAATATGTTCAGCCTTCAGTGAAAATAATTTCACACAGAAATGTCATATAATTAATCTTTGTGACCTAAAAAAATTCTCTCTTGACTGAATAGGAAGAAAGGAAGCTGAAGTTTGTGACTGTAATGTATAATCATGTTTTGTTGGTCAAAAGTATATTTTTGGTTATAGGTCACAATTGTGTTTTTAGAGGTTATAGTAGTTTCCTGTGTCATTTCTTAAATTTTGTTTTGAATTACTTGGTATGCTAATATTATTTATGCAATCATTATTAGATGTCAGTTGTGGTGTTTAAAATTACTGGTGTTAATGGGGAAATTGACATCCGAGGGGAAGATATGGAAATCTGTCTTCAAGTGGACCAAGTGACACCAGATCAGTTAGGCAATATCAGTCTTCGGCATTACCTTTGTAATCGTCCAATAGGTAAGACTTTAATATGATTTAAACTTGTTTTGTTTTTTATACATATAATTCCTTAGCAGTTCTGTCTTTGGCATAAATAAATTCAAGGAAAATTACATTTGTTTATAATAATATAAGAGATTTCTTTTAGATTACCTTATTTTCATATAGTATTTTGATTGTTAAAGAAATATAATGTGTTGAAGATATATTCTCTAATTTCTTTTTGTTTTATTTGTTAAGTGCCATCTCTTTTGGTCTTCTCATTCTTTGATATAATAGGTTTAAGAAAACTGAGTTCTTTTCTATATGAAAAGAATGATAAAGTAATCCTAGAATGTCCAACTTAGTTCAATGCTGGAATAAATGTCAATTTTTATATTCCATTATCTTGCTTATAAACAAACATTTCCTGAGTCCAGCATGATACTTGGTGTTTGGAAAAATCATGTATCATGTTCTTATGGTCCTTCATTCTAAGATGCACACATTCACTTGGACATAGAGGAATATGAACAGCAAAACATGCAGTGTATGAAGAGGAAACCACATAAAACCATCCCTTTTTCAAAGTTTATATGGAGTTACCACTCATGGTTTTCAGTCATTTGAAGAAATTTATTTTTTAGAATAGTTCTACTAAGCATTTAAAATGACAATGTTCAATTTTTTAAGTCTTTAAAAAGTCACTGAGCTGTAATATTTTTCTTTGCTATACATACAGAATGCTAAATCTGATACATAACATGTTGAAATACATAGTCCTGCATGATATCAAATAAGTATGCTATCACCTCACATCCTGGGAATTTCAGGTAAATGTGCCATTTGTCTTTAAACCAGCATCATAGAAAAAAATTGTCTCCTGGCTTTTTTCTATGTATAGACCTTGCAGTTTACAATGTATCTGTTAAAAAATTTCAAGAATTTTCTATTAGAAGTATAAATCCCAATGGCATGCAAAATAGAGGAAGCTAAATATATAATTGGAAAGGTTTCATAGTGGACAAAAGAAATTTCAAAACCTAGACCCTGTTCTATTCCCAATCCAAACTGCTCTTCAAATTGTACACTCTGAAGATTATTTCCAGTTGCTTAGTTGTTTTTACTTACTTTTAATGGGTCACTTAGTACCATGTCCTATTACTTTGTTTCACGTTGTTCCTTACTGAAGAAATCATTTTGAAATGCTTAGTATGTGTGGGTTGTATAGTCAGTGCTAGTGCCTTATTTTTCTCAACTGTGTCAGTTGGTTGTTTAAAGATAAACAAAAAATAAGAAGGAAGAAAACAAAGGAAAAGAAAGGAGAAAGGGGAAATGGGATAAAAGGAAAGGGAGAAAAAATAGTTTAGCTTGAACATTTCAAACAGTAAGCCATACGAACAAAGATTGATCTATGATTTATATCTGCTGTCACTCTGACATGACCAATTAAAATTGCAAAGTTGTTTTTGCTTTTGTTTGTTTTTGTTTTTCTATAATGTATGGATTTTGGAGTCCTTTAATAGGAAGACCTTTACATAATAGTTTCATGGCCTAAAAGGTAGAAGAAAGGAAAGAGTTTTGACTAATGAAGATTTTGTTTGATCTCTGCTCCAAATAAATACTCTTTGTTTGAAATTATTTCTGGCTCTCAGCTCCTTAGAGTGAGTAGGTATCTCTCTCTCTCTCTCTCTCTTTCTCTCTCTTTCTCTTTCTCTCTCTCTGTATAGATATGTAGATAAATAGGTAAAAGGCAAAACAAAATCACATTTACCAAGTTGTTTCTAATTGCTCTTTTTTTTTTTTTTTTTTTAAGATTTATTTATTTATTTGACAGAGAGAGAGAGAGCAAGCACAAGCAAGGGGAGCTGGAGTGGGTGAGGGAGAAGCAGGCTTCCTGCTGAGCAGGGAGCCTGATGTGGGACTCAGTCCCAGGACCCCGGGATCCTGACCTGAGCCGAAGGCAGACGCTTAATGACTGAGCCACCCAGGAGTCCCTCTAATTGCTCTTATTATCAAATAGACACATTAACTCTTGTTTGTCTTGATATAGGAAAGAACACTAACCATTATCAATTTGTGGCTGTTTTACCTTTTATTTAAAAAAAAATCTGAGTTCTTAATTGTTCAAAAATTCTTTAGAATTTTTTTGAACTCTTCTTGTTTCTATCTTATTTATCTTGAATGTTAATCTGTAGTAGTAACATTGATTAAACATCATTCTGTACCTGAAATAAAGTTATAAAAACAACTCTCCATTATAAGTTGTGTATGGAGATCTATCCTTGGTGCATAAATATAAGTATGTTTATTTTCTTACATCCCCTTCCTTCACAAATATGTTTACATTTGACTTTTATAAGACTGAAGTATTCACATCCATGCTGAGGGAAAATAAACATCTCCCCATCATGAATTTAATTAGTAGGGTCTTCTTAAGACAACCGAGACTGATAAATTCGAGACTGATAAATTTGATACTTCAATAACTGAAACAGTTTCACTTTTCCAGAACATTTAGTTTGTTTTTAACTCACTGGGTTCTATGAATTGTGAAACTAATCCTATTTTTCTCTTTGCTGCTAGGAAGTTCATTTTTGGTTCACCTGTGGCACAGAAAAGTAAATAATGTGTTCAGAGTTATTAATCTTACTACCTATCTGTTTCTGTTCTATCCTTTTCCATTGCTTACTTATTTTTTATATAAGTATGCTATGACCGTGTTGCCTCCTATTCTTTTTGGAGCTAGGTATTGTAAAGTAAAATAGTTACCATGAGGGTCATTTCACTTAAGTGGTTGCATTGGGAACTTTTGTTTTTTAAAATCAGATATTGTATGGGTGCTTTATTGAAATTTAAAAATTTGTTTTTGAAATCAGTATTTATCTCTGTAAGCCACCTCAAATTCTTTTTTGGAACAAGGCCAAGGCATGTGTGTGTGTGTGTGTGTGTGTGTGTGTGTATATACATATATATGTGTGTGTATATATATGTGTGTATTATATATAAATGTGTGTGTGTATGTATATATCCTTTGCTATAATACCAGTTTTAAAATTGTCTTCTAATAGAGGCATTTTAATGAGGTCTTGTCTATTTACTTTTCTAATTATTTAAGGACCTAATTTTAATGAGGAAGGTGCAAAACTTCAGGCTTTTGTTACTTCTTGAGAAATGGCTTAAGAATCACTTTAAATGCCATGATTTTTTCTTTATCACAGTTGTCCATTATATTACAGATGTATAGATAGGTATACACTCAGATGGATTGTAAGTATCTTAGGTATACAACATATCAGATTTATATCATGACGTATGTTTGCATGGTACCAAAGAAATAGAAAGTATAGACAAGTCAACATTATTGTAATGGAAAGTCATCTATAAAAATTGAAGTTAAGGTTGTTTATGGTATATTATAAATGTACTGTAAGTATCCCTTAAAAGTAAATATTAAAACTTTAAGATATTATTTCTTCAACATTGTACAAAGTAACAATAATGTCTTAATGACAAATAATTGAGAGTGACACTTTTGAGTAGTGCTACAAGTTATAATTTTTATGTGTTCTTTTTCTGTAGGTTCAGATCATAAATCTATAATTCATTCCAAATCCACTCCTGAGATTACTCTGAGATTTGAGAGTGGGCCTGGTGCTGTAGTTCACTCTTTGCTTGCAGAAAAAAATGGATTTCTGCAATGCCATATAGAAAACTTTAGCACTGAGTTTTTTACATCTTCTCTTACTAATATTCAACATTTTTTGGAAGATGAAACTGTTGCAACAGTGATGCCAATGAAGATACAAGTTTCTAACACAAAAATTAATTTAAAAGTATGTTAATAAGTATTTTTATATTTTCATGTTGTAAATGTTCACTTTGCTTACCTAGACTTTGATTCATGTCTAAGAATATGTCATCTCTATAATATATACTCTATTAACATTTATTGAAATAAATTTGTGGTCTTTGTGGGGGAATGACGAAGAGATCCTTCTTAGAAATTAGAAAACAAAAATAGGATGGGCAGTTTTTCACTGTATCAACTGAAGCATATAAAGATAAATTTCTAACTCATTAAAAATATTGACTGAAGTAACGTTTGTTAAGGAAATGATTAATTTTATCATTTACTTTAATAACAATATGCTGATGTTGTTTCTCCTTTCTGTAGGATGACAGTCCTCGTAGTAGTACAATATCCCTTGAACCAGCTCCTGTAACTGTTCATATTGACCATCTTGTGGTGGAGAGAAATGATGATGGCTCTTTTCATATCAGAGGTATATATGAAAAACATTGTAATTGAATACCTGCTGAAATTTAAAATTAAATTATTTATATGCTGATTGTTTACTCATACTTCCTGTTTATAAATATATACATATGTGGTAGTAAATGATTGAGGGACACTTTTAGTACTTTGCAATAAAATATCATCTATGTATGGATCTCTTACTTCAGAAATAACTCATCCACAGTTGATTTAATACCTGTTCTACAGATGTGTTTTGAATGAAAGTGACAGAGGCTTTTATGGTCTTACATGGCTCTTGAGCTCACTTGGGTCTCTTACTTGATCTCTTTCTTAACTTTGTTTCCCACTATTCTTTTATATATAGTCAACAAACTTGGTATACTCCTGTAATGGAATTCTTCATGCACTTTTCCATCTCTGTGTTCTTATTTGCCTTGTTATTTCTCATTAGAATTGTATGTTTTCTTTCAAGATTATCTCAAGCTTCTTTTCAATTAACTGTTCTTATAACCTGATGTGACTTCTTATTCTTGGGTACTTATTCTCCATACATTAGTTACTAACAGTATATTGCTGTGTATTTAGTTCTGCTTTAGTATCTTGATTTAAGAATTAGTATCTCCATTCTAACAAGATTTTTAAGGTCTCTAAGGGCTATATCTTACAAGGTGGAGTGGAATAGAGGAAAGAGCTTGACTTGTTATACTTAGATAGTCTAGTCTCACTTTGTTAGTAGCTACTTGAGAGTGAAATATCAGGGACTGATCTATGCATCTATTTCATCTATCAGAACCTCATGAAATGACATGTTAAAAGAAGAATAAATTCATAACAGTACCGCAAAAGAAAAATAAGTACCATCAGTGGGTCAGAAATCCTTAAAAGAGCACAGAGAGCAATCCAAAAAGGCAAAACCAGAAAAGTCTGTAGCCATAAACCCATCTCAGAGAGAACTGTTGCTAAGGTAGGAGCAGTTTGTGGGGAAGTCCTAATCAATGAGTCTACCCTCTGGAGTTTGGGATCAATAGAGCAAACAAAGAAGTCAGACCAACACAGATAAAAATGTCAGCTTCTTTTCTGATAAAAGCTCACATGGAGCAAATAGCTTACTCTAAGAAGATAGGTTTGCTGTATGTCTCTTTCCTCCAAATACTTTAGGTCCCAAAACTGCAGGTCTGACTTATAGAGAAAGCAGAATAGAATGCATCCTTTTTGCAGGCAAGGCTTATACCAAAGTGAGGAGAGACTGAGTCACATACACAGTTCCTTTTTCTAAGCTCATCAGTCAGGTAAGTCATACCTTCTCCCCTGTGAATAAGTGAGAAGGGGGGCCAAGAGAGTACAGGAGAATTTTCTCCTCAAAAACAGGAGAAATCTTCCAAACAGAACGCTGAAATTAGAATAGATCCCTGAGGCAATAAGGTGAACAATGTAGGCACTTCTTTTTGGGACCCTTTCCTATGCTTCTACCAAATAGCAGACTTTAGGGAGGTTTGCATATAGACTACAACATGGAGGGTAGATTTTACAGCTGCCAGGCCCCAGGAAGGGAATGATTGTGTTATACCTAGTTGACAAACTTGGTATCTCTCACCCCAGCAGCACAACCTCTCCCTCCCCAACCCCATCACTGGCTGTCAACTATGGCACATCGAAACAGCATCCATAGTCAAGAAAATGGGTTAAGCATACGTCCAAGAATTGTCATACATTTGATTGATTGTAAACAGGCAGTAGTCATGATTGTAAGCAAGAAATATACTCTAGCTAATTGAGTAGAAAAGGAGTTTTATAAAGATTATTGGAATGGAATAGAATTAAGAGACCAGAAATAAACTCTTACATTTATGATTAACTGATTTTTGACAATGGTGCCAAGACAATTCAATGTGGGAAAGAATAGCCTTTCCCACAAATGGTGCTGAAACTACATGATATCCACATGAATGAAGCTAGACCTCTTCCTTATATCATCCACAAAAATGTACTCTTTGTGGATCAGAAATCTTAAAAGAGGTAAAACTATATAAAATACTTAAAAAAAACCCATAAGAATAAATCCTAATGACCCTGGGTTAGGAAGCCTTCTCAGATGCCACACCAAAAGCATAAATGACAAAAGAAAAATGTAGATGAGTTCCGCATCCGGCTGCCGGCTTGGCGGGGAACCTGCTTCTCCCTCTGACCGTCTCCCCTCTCATGCTGTTTCTCTCTCTCGCTCTCTAATAAATAAATAAATAAAATCTTTAAAAAAACAAAAAAGAAAAATGTAGATGAATATACTGTCAGGAGCACGAAAAGACAGTCCACAGGATGGAAGAAATATTTATAAGTCATGTATCTGGTAAGGGCCTGGTATCCGGACTGTATAAAGAACTCTTCTAACACAAAACTGAAAAAGATAGGGAGACGGCTTTGGGCACTCCGCATGCCGGGTCTCCTCCTCTTCCTGTGCTGGGTAGCTATGGCAGCCATGAAGACTCTGAACTCCATGGCTGAGGTGGCCGGAGCCCAGGTAGCCCTGGCGGTAAACATCAGCGTGGCCCAGGGGTTGCAGGACGTGCTGAGGACCAACTTGGGGCCTAACGGCACCATGAAGATGCTTATTGCTGGTGCTGGAGACATTAAGCTTACTAAGGATGGCAGTGTGCTGCTTCATGAAATGCAAATTCAACACCCAACAGCCTCCTCAGTAGCCAAAGTAGTAACATCCCAGGATGACATAATTGGTGATGGTACCATTTCCATGTCCTAATCATTGGAGAGCATTTCTGAAAGAAGCAGATCTCTACATTTCTGAAAGTCTTTGTCCAGAATAACAGGAGAAGAATATGAAGCTGTAAAGAAAAAGGTACTTCAGTTTTTGGAAAAGTCAAAGTAAGCAAAGAAATGGACAGGGATACACTTAAGAGATGTGGCCAGAACATCTCTACATCCTAAAGTGCATGCTGAGCTTGTCTTAACAGGCTGTAGTGGACTCCATTTTGGTCTTTAAAAAACAAGATGAACCTATTGGGACCTCTTCATGTTTGAGACCATGGAGGTGAAACATAAATCTGAAACTAATACAAGCTTAATCAAAGGTCTTATTTTGGACCATGGGGCATGGCATCCTGATATGAAAAAAAAGGTAGAAAATGCATACATCCTCATATGCAAAGTGTCATTAGAATATGAAAAAATAAAAGTGAATTCTGGCTTTTTTTTTTTTTTACAAGTGTGCAGAAGAGAGAAACTTGTAAAAGCTGAAAGAAAATTCATTGAAGATAGAGTTAAAAAAATAACAACTGAAAAAGGAAGTCTGCGTGATTCAGATAAAGGATTTGTTGTTACTAATCAAAAGGGAATTGACACCTTTTCCTTAGAAGCTATTGCAAAAGAAAGCATAGTAGCTCTGTGTAGAGCTAAAAGGAGAAATATGGAAAGGCTGAGTCTTGCTTGCAGTGAAGTAGCTCTAAATTCTTTTAATGACCTAAATCCTGTTTGTTTGGGACATGCAGGACTTGTCTATGAGTATACTTTTGAGAAGAGAAATGTAACAATCCTTGCTCTGTCACATTGTTGGTCAAAGGGCCAAATAAGCACACACTCAAACCAAAGATGCAGTAAGAGATGGTTTGAGGGTTGTAAAAATGCTACTGATGATGACTGTGTAGTTCCAGGTACTGGTGCAGTGAAGTAGCAATGGCAGGAGCTTGATTAAATATAAACTCAGTATAAAGGGCAAGGCCCAACTTGGGAGTTCAAGCATTTGCCGATGCACTGCTCATTATTCCCAAGGTTCTTGTTCAGAATTCTGGTTTTGACCTTCAGGAAACACTAGTTAAAGTTCAAGCAGAACATTCAGAATAAAGTCAGCTTGTGGGTGTGTACTTGAACACAGGTGAGCCAGTGGTAGCAGCTGACGTAGGCATATGGGATAACTATTGTGTAAAGAGACAGCTTCTTCACTCCTGCATGGTGACTGCCACCAACATTATCCTGACTGATGAGATCATGCGAGCTGGAATGTCTTCTCTAAAATGTTGAATTGAAGCTTCCCTTGTGTCATCTGAATCATGAAGACCCTACAGAGTGATCCTAAGAAAATACCTGTGGAATTTTGTCCAAGTCTCAAGTGATTTTCTTTTTATCTTCCTTCCTTTTTTCCTTCCTTCCTTCCTTCCTTCCTTCCTTCCTTCCTTCCTTCCTTCCTTCCTTTTATTTAATTATTGGAGAGAGAGCACAAGTAAGGTGAGGGTCAGAGGGAGAAGCAGACTCCCTGCTGAATGGGGAGCCCGATGCAGGGCTTGATGCGAGGCTCGATCCTGGGACTCCAGGATCATGACCTGAGCCAAAGGCAGACGCTTAACCAACTGAGCCACCCAGGTGCCTCTCAAGTGATTTTCAAAAGCATTTTCTTTTCCCATATGAAAAAAAGAGAGAATGCTGACACTCAAATTCTGAAGTTTTGAAATTATAATTAGTATGTTTTATATTGCGCTGCAGTGTACACACATTAAGCAGGCCCTTTTTACCTAATAAACAGGATGTTTTGCTTTAGCTTCAGTGATAAAAAAGTACCACATTAGATAAGTATATGTTATCTACATTGTTATTAAATGTTCCTTGAAAAACAAATGAGCAAATGAACAAAAACTGAAAAAGATAAGTAACCTAATTTTAAAATAGGCAAAGATTTGAACAGATATTTCTCTGATGAATATATAAAAATGGCCGGCCAAAAGCACATGAAAAGATGCTTGACATCATTAGCCATTATAGAAATGTAAATCAAAACCACAATGAGGGGGCACCTGGGTGGCTCAGTCGTTCAGCGTTTGCCTTCGGCTCGGGTCATGATCCCAGGTCCTGGGATCGAGCCCCGCATCGGGCTCCCTGCTCGGCGGGAGGCCTGCTTCTCCCTCTCCCATTCCCCCTGCTTGTGTTCCCTCTCTAGCTGTCTCTCTCTCTCTGTCAAATAAATAAATAAAATCTTTAAAAAAAAAAAAAACCACAATGAGATAACACTTCAAACCCACTAAG